GTCTTCCTTTCTTCCCCAGACTGAAGATCCAACACTTTGAGCTCCGGAATTCAGAATTAAGTCTACTCCCCGGGCAAGGAGTGAGAGCCTCCCTCTCCAATAACTACGTGTCTGTCAGCGGGAACTGGAAGGTGAAAAAGGCTTTCGTGTGAGTAGTACTTGGGCTCGAATGTCTGTCAGCTCTGGAAAAGGGCATTTCTACCCAGTCTGGAGTCCCATCTCTAGGTCCAATGAAGGGTCCCCATCTGACCATTCCCAAACCTTAGTTTCAACTTCTGTGTTGTTGTTGTTGTTAGGTGCCGTCAAGTTGACTATGACTCATAGCAACCCTACGAACAAAAAATCTGAAACTTGTTCTATCCTGAGCCATCCTCACACTTTCTGACACACAAGAGCCCATTGCTACAGTCACCGTGTTAATCTACCTGGTTGAGGGTCTTTCTCTCCTCCGCTGACCCTCCACCCTTTCTAGCATCATGTCCCTCTCCAAGGAACAGCATCTCCTAGCAGCATGCTCAAAGTACATGGTGTGAAGTGAAGCCTCATCATTATAGCCTTCAAAGAGCACTCTCACTGCACCCTCAGACATATTTGTTTGTTCTTTTGGCCGTCCATGGGATGTTCAACATCTGTAAAATGGGGTTACTTATAACTTAACCTCAGACAGTTGTGGATTAAATAAAAGAACAGATGTCAAGCATTTGGAAGCAGCCTGGCTTGTAGTAAAGGCTCAGTAAACACTGATCACTTTGATTCATAATATACTGAAGCTCAAAGAAGATGTATACCTGGCTAGTGGGAATGTGGGAATCAAAACTGAGTCCTTTGACTTCTCTTTCCGAAGTTGACCTTGATTTTACATTTGCTTCCCATTTCTCCCAAACAGCACCCTGGAGGGCACCTTTGATCTGAGAGTGGATGGCATTTCCATCTCAGTTTCTCTGAAGCTGGGTAAGGATGACTTTGGACGGCCCACCGCCTCTGTGGCTGACTGCAGGAACTCCATTGGCCACGTCAGCATTTACATTTCCGGACACCTGGAGTAAGTGATCCCACACGCTTATTTGTCAGAGCTACCCTCATTACCCAGCATATCCAGGCGCCCCTGATGGAGCAAAAGGGCAAGATTTCAAAAATAATAACAACCTAACTTTAAAACTAGACACGATCAGAGGTCAGCAGTATATATATATATATATATATATGTGTGTGTGTGTGTAGCCTGTGGGCCAAGTCCTATAGCCTATTGTTATAAAGTTCTATAAAGTCACCCAAATGCTGGATACCATGAGCAATTCACGAATTAATCTTTAAATCATAATTATTCTTTCTCATAATCTACTACCACCGTCTCCCCTCATTGTGTTACTGGAAAACGCACCCTTGTGTATTCAAGGCCTTTTCCAGAAATGAACATTGAGGGTGTTGAATAAGATGTCGCTCTTAAAAAGAAAGAAGATTTTTAGCCCCAAGGTCTTTAGCCAGGTGGGCTTCACAGGAACTTCCCTCTAGTTCCAGCCTGCTCAACTTCTAGTAGAAAGCTGAGCTGGCAAAAAAAAGACTAGGACATTTCAGGAATACCACAAAAAACGAGCTGACCTAAGATTACACCAGCAAGATAAGAAAAGATGCCAACAGAATACCGCCCAACCAAGACTTCTTCATATGATCTGCTGAACCCACCAACAATCTTTGTAGATGAGCCCCCCACTTTGTATATAAAGCTACAAGATCTTTAGCCAGGTGGGTCTCACAAGTACCTCCCCATTCAGTTCCTCTCTGACTGCATTAAACAACAACATTCAAGTAGTTCCGAGATCTTCTGACCCACAAAGCCGACAACGTTTACTATGTGGCCCTGTAAGAAAAAGTGTGCCTTCAGTTTCACAGAGAGAGGTCTGTGGCTAGTGTGCCTTCAGTTTCACAGAGAGAGGTCTGTGGCTAAAAAGGGCTTTCTATGGCCTTTATCTGAAGTGGGCTGGAATCACATCACGAACTCCGTGAGGCTAGAATACAAGTCAGTCTTGTTTATCACTGTTGCTTCAGAATCTAGCGCACTGCTTACCACAGTGGACGGGACCTTAACGCGAGTCCTTACCCAGTTTGACTCTCATTAAAAAAACAAACCCACCATCTTGGAATCAATTCCAACTAATAGCTCCCTTCCATCAGGTTTTCAAGGCTGTAAATCTTGATGAAGATTATCTCATCTTTCTCCCTCAGAGTGGCTGGTGGTTTTGAACTGTTGACCTTTTGCTTAGCAACCCAACACTTAACCAACCTCTAGGTTTAGATACATGCTAAACATAAATAAATATTGTGAGCACGTGCAGTTGCAAAGAGTTCCAGTGCCTTCTTATTACCACGTAAGCATGTCTTGTTATCAAGCTGCCTCTGTGACCAGGGGTAGTTTGCTTTGTGTTGCTGGACTGCTAACCAAAAAGTCAGTGGTTCAAATCTACCAGCCGTTCTGGGAATGAGATAGGCAGTCTCATTTCTGTAAAGATTTCTATCCTTCAAAGCCAGATGGGGGAGCCTCAAGAGTGGGTCAGTGAGTTTGGGTAAAATGGGCTACTTAGCTCATCCTTTTACCTACTGTATTTACTGGAGCATAAAAGTCCGCAGATAACTAAAAGTGTGGGGGGGGCGATGAGGAGGGAACTCTGGTGGTATAATGTGTTTTGTTCCTAGTCAAAAGGCTGAGCCACTCTGACAGTTTAAGTCGGCCACCGCCTCAGTGGGCAAGCTCTTCCCATTAGTATTTAAAGCCTCAGAACATTTTCACCAAGAGAATGATGTTTTTATTAGTAACTTTGAATGCCCGCAAGAAAAGGCTTAAGATAAGTGAATAGCTGCCAATTTTCTTAATTTCTTGGTAGATCATTGGCAGATGTTACGGAATATATAGACCTTACACCATTTTCTTATACTTTTTAAATTAATTTCTTTTTAAAAACCAGTGATTCATTCATATCGTTCAAAACTCAAAGGTGCTCTGGCAGAATGGACGGTTTATGCTCTCAGCTTGTGACCAAAAAGGTGAGCGGTTCCCACTCACCAGCTGCTTCGCAAGAGAATGGTGGTGGTGGTCTGCTTCCACAGGGACTCAAGCTGAGAAAACCCCCTGGGGCCACTATGTGTTAGAACTGACTGAGAGCCGCCAACCTCAAGGCAGATTTAAATAAGATTTACGCTAAGTGACGTTGGTAAAGTTCAAGAGGCTTCAGAGTGAAAAGAAAGCCCTTTCCACCCTGGGCTTCAGACCAGAAGAGGTTGGGAGGGTGGCCCAGAGTTGCTATGAGTCAAAGCCTAACAACAGTGACAATAGAGCCATTTGTTTCCCTGCCAACCAGTTTCCCTTCTCAAGAGCAATCATTGTTAAGTGTTCTATGTTTGTTTGTTTCACAATTATGGGATTTGCTAGGGAAGTAACAGCTTCTAGTTCAGGCTGGAAATAGTAGGGATTCTTTAATTGGGACAGTTTCTTCTCAGAAATGCTCACAGGCAGACCTCTCTGATCCTCCGGTTTGAGACTCTGCATCACTGTTGGGCAAATGTACCTGTTTGACTCTGCTTCCTGGTTGGGCAAGTGTACCAAAAAGAACTGGTTAACATAGAAGAATTTCAAGAAACAACATACAAGCATGAGGCAGTGGTGATAAAGGAGGAAGTGCAGGCTGCTCTGAAGGACTGGGCAAAAAATAAGGTCCCAGGAAGTGATGGGATATCAGTTATGTATTTCACCAAACATGCCGCCCTTCATGTGCTCACCAAGTTGTGCCAAGAAATCTGGAGAACAACTACTTGGCCAACTAACTGCAAGAGATCAATATTTATTTCCATTCCAAAAAAAAAGGTGACCTGACAGAGTGTGGAAATTATAAAAATTATCACTAATATCACAGACTAGGAAAATCCAGCTGAAGATTATCCAGAAAAGACTTGAACAGTACATTGACAGAGAACTACCAGAAATTCAAGCTGGGTTTAGAAGAGGTTGTGACACTAAGGACATTATTGCCAATGTCAGATGGATCTTGGCAGAGAGCAGAGAGTACCAGAAGAATGTCTATTTGTGTTTCATTGACTGCGTAAAGGCATTTGACTATGTGGGTCACAATAAATTGTGGCTAACCTTGAGGAAAATGGGAATCTCCTAACACTTGATTGTGCTTATATGAAACATATACTTCGACCAAGAAGCAGTCCTCAGAACAGAGTAAGGAGACATTGCACTTCAAAATCAGGAAAGGAGTGTATCAAGGATGTAGCCTGTTCCAGTATCTTTTCAATCTGTATACAGAACAGATCATTTGGGAAGCAGGGCTTTACGGGGAGGAATGTGGCATCAAGATTGGAGGGAGATTCCTTAACAACCTACTATATGCAGATGACCCAAACTGAAGAAGACCTGAAGCAATTGCTGTAAAAAGTCAAGGACTCTAGTCTTCAATATGGATTGAAGCTCAACATCAAGAAGACAAAGATTCTCACCACTGGGCCAGTTGGCAGCACCATAACAGATGGAGAAGAGATTGAGGTTGTTAGCAAGTATAGCTTGCTCAGATCCACAATCAACATTATTAACACCAGAAGCAGAAAATCACAAGACGAATTGCATTGGGAAAATCTGCTGTCATGGACCTCTCCAGAGTGCTGAAGAGTAACGATGTCAGTCTAGATACAAAGGTGTGCCTAATCCAGGCCACGGTATTCTCAATTACTTGTTCTGCTCCAGAGAGTTGGACAGTGACTAAGAATGACAGAAGAAGAATAGATGCCTTGTGGTGCTGGAGAAGAGTCTTGAATATACAATGGACTGCCAAGAAAAAAAGTCAGTCTGTCTTGGAGAAGGTGAAACCAAGCCTCTCCTTCGAGGCTAGGATTTTGAAGTTCCACCTTACTTACTTTGGGCATGTGTACAGGAGAGATCGGTCCTTGGAGAAGGACATTGTGCTCGGAAGGGTGGATGGACAGTGCAGGAGAGGGAGACCCCAGATAAGATGGATCGATACAGTAACTAGGGCAGTGGGGGTTGTTGTGTCAGAATTAGTGAGACTGGCTCAGGACAGGGAAGGGTTCAGAGCTGCTGTCCATTGGGTCGCTAGACATCACAGGAGACTCAACGGCACATAACAACAATGACATACTATGACAGGTTTGGAAGCAGGAATGGCATCCAATTCTTAAACAACATGTCTCTGGAAATTCTATGAACTTTGATAAATGTCGATAGTTGTAGAAGGGCTTCAGGCCTTTTGTTCATAGGGTCGCTATAAGTCGTGCTTGACTCAAAGGCAATCAACAACAACAACAATCATTTATACTTCATAGAGTTCATGAGTAACTACACCATGAATTGTGTAAGCCAGATACCTCATGCCTTTATCTCCACTTTTTCAGGCAGCCAATATCTAACTTACTTGTCTCTATCAAACCAGTATTCTGAAAACACAGATATGTTCTTTTCTGAAATATCTTCTGTTCATATTGGAATTTTAAACATCTGCAAGTCTAGAGCAAGCTATCAAACTGCAGCAATCTACACTGGTTCACAGTCTCAAACATCTTATTCCTACTCATCCAAGGCAAAGTCTAATGGGCACCAGTCCCAAACTCTGGGGTCCATCTATCTTCCTGGAGGATTTCAGACTCACTGGTCCTCTTCCCTCTCAGCCTTGGGAAGTCAGAAGTCCTCACAACTCCCTGCACTTAAGATCTGTAAACTTCTTTCATCATTAGTATCTATGTGTGCTGGGTCAATGGGTGTCAATGAAAAATATTCAAACAGCCAATGTCTTCATGGCTATGTTCTCCCACTCTCTTCAAGTGGACCCCGTGCAGTCAGTGCAAGCAGTTACTAACCAGGTTGTCTGGCTCCCTCAATACTAACAGTGTTTTGTGTATCATTCACTCATGAGAATCAATATCTACATTTTTAAATCTTTTCTTTATACAAATAGTAGCACGTTACGTGTGGTATTAAGTCCCTTGATTCCTCTCCATTCCCCTCACCCTGCTTAATAACATATTCAGAAGTTTCTGGACATCAAAACATAAACACTACCTTGACAAATTATTTTATTGTGTGAAGACACTATGATGTAAATAATTGGACTTTTGTTAATGAGCATTTAATTTTCAGGGTATTTTTTTTTTGGTTCCTTATATTTTTCCTAGCCTTTTGCTATCATAAAAATACTACTAAGGATAACTTTGTGCATAAATAACATCATTTTGCTCTTGAGAAATCTATTTTTGTAGGTTAGATTATTAAAATGAAATTTCTAGGGAAGAAGATTGTATATTTTGTAATTTTAATATATACTAACAAGATGTCTTCTGAGACTTGCCAGTTTCCATTCTCACTAGCATATGAGGGAGAGTTTCCTCACATCATCCCCAAGACAGCTTATCACCAAAGATTTTCCCTTTTGCTCATCTGAAAAATGAGAGTAACTTAGTTTTAATTTGTGTTTATCTTCTGGTAAATGATGCCGAGCATCTTCTCTGTTGACAACCATGTGGACTGCGTTTTTCCTAAATTTTCTATTCATACCTATTTCTACTCTTTTCCAGTCTTTTTTCTCTTTCAAAACAGTCCTCAAACTTTAGGCCACTAAATTCAAGTTATAAAGTTTCAGCTCAGTTGCTTAATAATTAAAGGATTTGTTTGGTTCCCAAGAACTGAAAAGCTCACAGGATGAACCCAAAACTATGACCAGATCCAGGTGTTTGACCAGTGTTACCAGGGATCTCTGTGTCTTTGAGAAACGCTGTTGGCTCTGTCGGTTTCATTCTCAGACAGGGCTCACCATCCCTTGAATGGCAAACATGGCCACTAGGAGCTCCAGGTTTTCTTGGTCCTTAGTGCAAATCATCTCAACACGGAAGCCCTTTCCATGAAATGCCAGGGAAAATCCTGGGGAAATGGTCATTCATTCATACTAGGTCATATGCCCGTCTCTGAACAAATCATTAAAGAGTCTGACTGAGTCAGGATTAAGACTCACCCTTAAATCTGGTAGAGAAGTGAGGTCGGCCCCACTGAACCTCTAGGACTGAAAATGAGGAAGGAATGGGTTTCCAAAGCAAGAAAGAAAAGGATGTGGATGTTAAAACCACAGATGTACACAGTTAACACCCCACTTCTAACTAGTCTTCCTTCACGTACATTTCTGATTGAAGAGAACAGTGTGAATTATCTTCCTCTGGATTAAACTGATCTAGCAGGGCCCCTTTAGTAGGATGGAGGAAGGTCATATCCGTGTATAGTCCCCCTCACAAGGGGCTCAGTTAATCATGAAGTGTTCTCTGACTCTCTTTACTCTTTTCTTCAGGTGGCTCCTGAATCTCTTCCATAAAAAAATTGAAAACAAGTTCAAAGAAATCATGCAAGAAAAGGTAAACAAAAGGATACACAGACTTGCGGTTAGCATATTAGCATGTACATATCGGATGTCTGGAAATAGTTTTTCTCTTAAGTAAGTTACTATTTAAATCTGCTTAGCAAATCCTCATTCATGGTGCAAACATAAATTTCAAAGCTTTCTCCAGTTTGTATGATAGCATATACTGATCGCATTTGGAACCATGGGAGTGTTATCTGATTACCCAGACGCAGATAATATTGAAGGGTATGAAAGGAAAATTACATCCAATCCCTTCCTCACACCATAACCACATCAACTCTAAATGCTGAGAGATTTTTTCAATTCTTTTAAGAGAAAATATAGATATTTCTCACTTTGAGAATAGGGAGGGAGTTTTAAAATAAGACACACACAGAATACTAATCATATAGAGAATAGCAGTGGGGACAGCCCTCAGTGGTCTGAGGAGATAGAAGGGTGTCTCTTTTATTTACCCTCAATGTAAGCAAGCTAATGTACCACCTGGAGCCTCATGTCCTCATTTGAAAAATGGAGACAATCAGTGCTACCTTGAAGGGAGCAGTAAGGATTCAGTTACACAACCACACAGTGCTTGGTACTCAGGGCAGGTTCCAAGCAGTCATTATTATTGTTCCTAGGACATTTCTCAATTTCCTTTTACTTTCTTTAATCTTTTGCTACTGAGCACATGAGCCGTGGGGATATCTTATTCAAATAGTGACAATTTCTGGACAGAGATTTAATTGTGGAATTAAATTACAGTTCTGTCACTGTGAAACCTTGGTGAACTGGCTTAACCTCTTTGAAATTTAGAATTCTTACCTCTAAAATAGAAATAATACCATCCAGGACTATCGTGAGAAACTAATGAAGTCAGATACACAGGTGCTTATTATTAGCACCTGGCACAAAGCAAAACCGAAAAACTAAACCTAGTGCTGTTGTGTTGAATCTGACCCAGGTGACCCCCTGTTGGGTTTACAAAGCTGTAAATATTTATGGGAGGATACTTTCTCCCTCAAAGCTCCAGGAGGATTTGAACCACCAAAATCTTTCAATTAGCAGCCTGACACATGTAACCCTTGGGGCTAACCCTTGGGCACTAACCATTGGGGCTCCTTGGAATAAAATAAGGGTTGAGCAAATGGATCAGAAATGTTTCCACTGAAAAAAAAATCTTTCCACTGACACTTATGCTCACCAACGCCTACATGCAACAGGCAGAAGACAAAGGCAGGTTGTGGTATCAACCCTACAGATACAGGAAATAAGAAATCTAGATACCATGCCCTGGAGGGAATAGTACCAGAGAACTGAGCCTAAGGAGTGAAACGTTTCAGAGGATATAATTATTGTTTTCACAGCTTTGTGAAGTATAGAGCTTCACGTAGCATTGCAGAAAGCGCACCTAGAATGAGGGACTTGGGCGTGGACAAGATACTAGTCTCAGAAGGGTACACACTCAAAGCCCTGGAAAGGCATCACCCTGCCTTATCTAGTGCAGAAGCTGCCTTTCCCTAGCTTGGAGTTTGCATTGAAATATTGAGGAATCTGCTCGCCAAAGGACGATTGGTTTTAAGTAGTATGAAACCTTCATATTAAATTATGCAGTGTGGAAACAGTATGGCGAGGTTGGAGGTAGCAAAATCTAATCTCCACTAACTTCACAAGGGGACAGAATTCCCAGCAACAGCAAGAGCGGCACACAGACAATTCCAATGAGATCAGACATGCCCCCCAACACTCTCTATTTCTACCAAATCCAGTATCATTGATCACCCCTTGGATCGTAGAACTCTACCACCGGGTTTCATAATTTGCTGCAATGGCCACACAGAACTGACAGAAAATATTCACAATTATGAGTCTTATTAGGAAAGGAATGGGATCCAATTCAAGTCAGAAACACTCCAGTAGGTCAGACTGAGTTCAGGTCAGTCTTGTTCGTAGACAGAAACGAGGAGAATCTCACTACATTAACAAAGAAGAAGCAGAGACTGTAACATACCTTTTCCAGCCACAGAATTATGTGTGAACCAAAGATAGAGATGGAGCGAGACTCAAACCATCAGGCTTTAGGTTAGCCAAGTGTGTTGACTGTTTGCTCCTCCCAGGAACTTTATAGGCATCCCCAGGTTCCTCTTAGCCCAAGATGGCTGGATAATGTGAGATTTCCAGCATCTCTAAGTAGGAGGAAGAGGGACTGAATAACGGGATCCTGGACCCTCTGGCTCAGGAGATGCCTCCTGCACATAGAAGCTCTTCTCCTCTCTTCTCTCTAAAATGCCCCTTTAACTGTGGAGACATTGAATAAAAGGCTATGACTGAAGGTTATGGAGACTTTACCACTATCACTTTTAATGTCTTTTCCAGAAAAGTTCCGGAACTTAAACGGGGCACACCTGGGTGAGAGGCCAATCCAGATAGGACAGGATCTAGCCACCCTGTCCTGACAGGAGTAGGGCCCTCTTCTCCCTTTTTAACATACCCTTCTCCACATACCTATAAGGCAGGGTGATGTGGAAAGGATGTGGGGGAAAGGGGAAAGGCATTTCAAGTAACGAGATGAAGGAGGAACTAACTCACCTGACTTTCTCTCCCTTTTCCTACAGATCTGCAATATAGTCCAGCGGTCAACAACCGGACATCTGATGCCCTATCTCCAGACTTTGCCAGGTTTGCATCCCTTCTCTTCCTTTGGTTCCACCACATGTTGTGGTGCTTGGCATGAAGCAGAAGCTTAACAAATATTGATTAATTGATTGACTGAAGCAATCGTTTCCATGGCTCAAAGTCCCACGAGTCATTCCCAGTCTCATGTTCACTCTCTCAAGGTCTTTCCCACTCAAAGTTCATGAGAGCGACCCTAATCCTAACCCTGTATCTTTCTTATTCTGCAGTCACTTCCATGATTGATCAGTTTGCTAGCATTGACTACAGACTGGCAGAAGCCCCCCTGGTGGTGTCCCAAGGGCTAGACACATTCTTCAAGGTAAAGGGCCTTGGAGCTGAAGGATGGTAGGAAATCACCTCTAGCTTCCAGAGTCCTCTCCTCCCCTCCCTTACTAGTCCATATATACATCAGCTTCAGACTCCATGCTCTTCAGCACCAGGTTGTTCTTCCTCTTCTACAGCCTGCCTCTTTGCTGCTACATCCCAAAGAGCTGATTCTCTAACAAGGAGATTTCAAGAAGCTGTCAACATGTTGATGTTATGAGTCCACTGGGGTCAGCACCCTGGGCTTCATATCCAAGAGAGGAAATGCCACCCTAATCCCCACTCAGGAGCCAAGATGCTCCCCCCCCGCCCCCAGGCTTTAGATCCTTCTGCCTGACATGCTCTCTGACCAAAACTTCGGTTGACTGATAAAGCCTTCTGTCTCCAGGGTGAATTCTTTAGCCAAAAGTGGCGATCTCCAGTCCCCTTTGATGCTCCAGCCATCAAACTCTCCCAGGAAGATGATCATATGGTCTACTTTGCAGTCTCTGAATACGTCTTCAACACTGCCAGCCAAGTTTACCACCAGGCTGGGCGTATGAACTTCACCTTCCAAAATAAGCATGTGAGTAGAGAAGGGGAAGAGGTTGGGGCTCCTGGAAAAGTGCGTCAGGTGGGACTACGTCAGGGGGAAATGTGGACTCTGGAGCTTCCCAAGGGTGGATTCAAATCCAAGCTGTGCCTCAGTTTCCTTACCAGTATTTATGAATTCCAAGAGCACTTATTCTCCAAAGATTATAGCAGCAGTCAAGAAATAAAAATATATGTTGCATTGGGAAAATCTGCTGTCAAAGACCTCTCCAGAGTGCTCTTTGGGGCAACAGTATCAGTTAAAAGATTAACGTGTGCCTGCTTCAAGCAACGATGCCTTCAGTCGCTTCCTAATTGATGCCGTTGAACTGTGGTGCTGGTGAAGAGTACTGAATACCCCATGGAATGTCAAAAGAACAAAGAAGTCTGTCTTAAAGGACACGCAACCAAGGTTCTCCTTACAGGCAAAGATGGTAAAACTTCATGTCACATACTTTGGGCATGTTGTCAAGAGAAGATGGTTAGTGTGTGTGTGTGTGTGTGTGTGGGTGGGTGGGTGTGGGTGGCTGGGGGAACCTATCATGCTGGGAAAGATAGAAAATCAAAGGAAGAGGAAGACCCTCAACAAGATGTATTGATAGTTACGATAACAATGGGCATGAGCATATCAGAGATAGTAAAGGTGGCTCAGGATAGGAAAGGTGTCAGATCTGTCGTTTATACAATTACTATGAATTGTAGTCAACTTGATGTCATCTAACAACAACAGTGTATCATAGGAGTCCATAAGTGGCAGAAATGGTTAAGCAAATACTTAACTCCTAGCCAAAAGCCTGGCAATTCAAATCTACCCAGAGGCATTCTAGAAAAGAGTCAGTCCGTAGATTACAAACACCTGACTTATATAAACCTATAGTTATTAACCAACTCACACAAAGCCTATTAAATTTAAATCTAATATGTAATATCTAAATATAATTGGGTCCTACTTTTCAATATACATCAAAACATCATTATTATTAGTGCTATATTTTGACATTAAAGATGTCTTAGTGTTTCTAAAAGCGTTTCTTTAATGCTTTTATACACAATATATATCAAAACAAGTATTTGTCTAACCAATGTAAGATATGAACTATACCTGTTCTGAGTTACTTACAAATATGATTCAAAGGCAGGCCTAGGAATGGATCTCATTCATAATCTGAGGACCACCTAGACTGCCAGAAAAGTAGCCATTGCAAACTCTGCGGAACACAGCTCTACACTGAGCCACATGGGTCGGCAGTAACTCAATGGCAATCGGTTTTGTCTTTTATGGTGTGTCTTATAGGATCCTCAGAGAAGTAGATGTCAAGATGGTGTTAGGTTTACAAGACTATGAAGGGCAAAGGAAAGGGGAAGGAGTAGGCATTAAGAGGCCTCAGGCAGCAATGAAGGTTTGACATCTGTGAAGAGAGGAAGAAGGAAGAGAGAGTAGGAGGACTCAAAGTCCTGGAGAAATTATTTTTTTTAAATCTGTATTCTTTTTTTTAATTAATTTTAATGCAAGTTTACTGAGACTTTGGATTTCCATTCATACATTGTTGCACTTTTCTCCCTGCCCAACCTCCCCCTCAGACTAAAAATATTCTTTTGTTACTGTTTTTTGTTGGGGTTTTTTCCCCATTCATTCATTGTTGCACTTTTCTCCCTGCCCAACCTCCCCCTCAGACTAAAAATATTCTTTTGTTACTGTTTTTTGTTGGGGTTTTTTCCCCATTCATTCATTGTTGCACTTTTCTCCCCTCCCAACTCTCCCCACCCCCCAGTACACTACCCTCTTGGAAAAGTAAAATAAAAACTTTTCATTGTTTTACAATCTGTTCCCCCAGGTCCACTCCACTATACAGCCTTCGCTCTGGACACCTGTCATGACAAAAACACCTAATCACATATCCCTTTTAAACAGTTTTCTCCTTCATCTGTTTCAATTAAGTATATATTATTAAATCCATCTTTCTCAGTCTCTCCCCAACCCCAAGGTCAGTCCTGTTTTACAACAGTGGTACCATGCAGTATTTTTCCTTTTGTGCTGAGATACTTCACTCAGCATAGTGTCCTCCAGGGTCACCCATTTTTAATAATATTGCATGAGTTCTCATTTTTCAATGCAGCGTAGTATTCCATTGTGTGAATATACCACAGCTTCTCCATCCATTCGTTTGTTGATGGGCACTTAGGTTGTTTCCAATGTTCTGGAAAAATGCTAAGGAAGCATCTCAGGTCTAAGAAAGTATTGACCAGAAACCACAGTGCAGAGATTGCTTATTAGAAGAGCATTATATCAGACAGAAATTCCAGTGCTTCTATCCCTCACATGCTCAGTAGTGGGCTGTGAGCAGCCTGGAGAGGATGCAGCTTTTGTATGAAAGGCACATGGGTTCAGAGATGAGGCAGCTGATTCCTTTGAAGGGAGATCTGAGCGCCAGACCTCCACTGCAGACACACACACTATAATAAGCAGCACAAGCAAATTGTGGGAATCTTCAGAAAGGAAAGGTCAAGGACAGTGAGTGTGGACAAGAATTCCAGACTGGAAGATCAGCAAGTGATAAGGTGGGCACTGTAAGATATGGCTGGAAAAACAGAGTGAATGGACAGCATTCGACGCCACACTGTTATATCACAAGCTCTAGTTGGTCCTTTTGGGGAGCTTAGCTCTGGTGGCTGACCCAAAGTTTATGCTTCACTGGGGGTTCGAATCCACTAGCGACTCCAAGGAAGAAAGATGGGCAATCTCCTCCTATGCAATGCACAGCCTCACAGAAACCTTCTGGGGGTTCAGCTATGAGTTGGTTCTAACTCAATGGCAATAAGTTTAACCTTAAAAAAATAAGAAATAGCAATAACTGATATTTATTTGTTACTTACCATGAGAATACCATGGGCTGCTAGGAAAACAAACAGATTTGTCCTGGAAAGGGTTAAACCGGGTGGCTCCTTGGAGGCAAGGATTCTGAGGCTCCATCTAACATACTTTGGACATGTTGTGAGGAGAGACCGGTCCTTAGAGAGGGACATCATGTTTGGGAGGGTGGAGGGACGGCGCAGGAGAGGAAGGCCCTCTATGAGGTGGATTGATTCAGTGACTGGGGTAACTGGGATGCGTGTGTCAGAGACAGTGCGATTGGCACAGGACAGAGCGGAGTTTAGGGCTGTTGTACATAGGGTCACTATGAGTCGCAGGCGACTCGACGGCACATAACAACAACAACAACAATATGTATTATAAAAAATGTCTATTTTTTAAAAACCCAAAGATTTCACTTTGATGACGAAGGGGTGTGTGACCCATGCCATAGTGTTTTCAGTCAGCTTAGAGGTAAGGAATCACACTGCCAACCCAAAGGTGGTGGTTTTTGTTAAATGCTGTCGAGTCGCAGGTGACTCATAGCGACCCTATGAAGGAGAGTCCTCAGTGCTTGGGTGTCTCTCATCCTCTCTCCAGGTTCATAGGGTTTCCGGAGGCAAGCTATTATGGAAGTGGATGCCGCTCCTCCTTCCAAGCTTGTTTTAATCGGGGAGCGCCACCAAGGGTGGTACATAGTTCAAATCCACCAGCTGCTCCGTGGGAGAAAGAAGGACAAGCTCCTCCCATGCGTTTTTACCACTTCTGAAAACCTGCTGGAAGGTCAGCTGGGTCAGTTCCAACTCAACAATATATGCACAGGAAAACTGGGCAATGAAAAAGAAGACCAAAGAAGAACTGATGCCTGTGAATTATGGTATTGGTAAAGATTAAATATTCCATCAACTTCCATAAATCTACCTCGGGGAGAAGTACAACCAAAATGTTCCTTACAGGGGAGGAGGATGGGAAGACTTCACCTCAATGTGGACCTATTTTCAGGAGGGAATAATCTTTGGAGAAGGACTTCGTAACTGGTAGAGAGTCAACAAAAACAAGGAAGACTTTGACTTTTTGTGGTTTTATTTGAATAGTTGTATTAACAAGTCTCCAATATGGATTGAGGCTCAGTGTCAAGAAGACAATGATTCTCACCACCAGTTGGCAGCATCAGGATGGATGGTGAAGAGATTGAGATTGTTCACAGCTTTAGTTTGCTTGGCTCCACAGTCAACACTCTTGGCACCACCAGCCAGGAAATTAAAAGATGTATTGCCATGGGAAAGTCTGATTTTAGGGACCTCTCCAAAGTACTGAAGAGCAATGGTGTCTCTCTGGAGACTACGGTGCATCTGATACAGGCTATGGTCTTTGCTATCATTTGTTATGCATCAGAGAGTTGGACAGTGACTAAGGAGGATAGAAGGAGAATTGATGCCTTTGAGCTGTGGTGCTGGAGAAGAGTATTGAATGTATCATGGACTGCTAGGAAAACAAACAGATTCATCCTGGAAAGGGTTAAACCTGGTGCTCCCTGGAGGCAAGGATTCTGAGGCTCCATCTAACATACTTTAGACATGTTGTAAGGAGGGACTGGTCCTTGGACAGGGACATAACGCTTGGGAGGGTGGAGGAACAGCGCAGGAGAGGAAGGCCCTCTATGAGGTGGATTGATTCAGTGACTGGGGTAACTGGGATGCGTGTGTCAGAGACAGTGCGATTGGCACAGGACAGAGCGGAGTTTAGGGCTGTTGTACATAGGGTCACTATGAGTCGCAGGCGACTCGACGGCACATAACAACAACAACAATAACATTAACAGGTCTTCCTTATATACATGTGGATATTATCTGTATTTTTTAAAAATCAAAACAAAACAAGAAGACTGTCAACAAGATGGATTGATAAAGTGGCGCCAGCAATGGGCTCAAACACAACAATGATTGTAAAAATCACAGGACAGGGTAACGCTAACTTTTGTTGCTATGAATTAGAAGTGGGTCAAGAGCACTTCATGATGATACAAGGAACAGACACGTAAATCTATGGAACACATATATGCACAGCATCCTCCACGTTTTACCCATATATTATATCACTTAATCCTCACGCATGGGAGTTCTGATGGTGCAATTCAATACCTATTGCACTAGTTATAAAAATGTTAGCAGGTCAAATCCACGAGCTCCTTTGTACAGAAAAAGACATGCAGGCTCCTCCTGTACAAAAGTACAGCCTTGAAAACTAAATGGAGAATCACTGTGAGTTGAAACTGACTCCATGGCCGTGGGTTGGATTTGGGTCTTAATCCTCACACAGCCTACAAATGCTATCATTGTTTCCATTTTTACAGATAGAGGACCTAGCAAAACTTTCCAAGAATGAGTCAGCTAGAAGACTACTGACACAGCATTTGAACCCAAGCTGTCAGATCTCAAAGTCCAAATCTCTGATGAGTATCCTGTCCTGCTTCTCAAGTAGCTTCTTGCTTGTTCTGCTGCAGATTCCCCTGGACTCTCAGATCCATCTTAACACCAATTCATTCCGGACTATTATTCCTCGGGTAAGACTTCTCTCCAATCATCACACAAGATAAGCCCCTCAACTTAGCCCAAGTTTGTAAACTCTATTTGGCTGCTGGTTGACAGTGTATAGACTTTGTGCAACTTACTTATAAGAATGGGGAGAGGAGAAGAAAAGTTAGTAAACAAATTTTATTATATAAAATTCCCATCATTTTTTGACTCCATATAGCACAAAGATAGACTCTGAATTTATATCACCTAGTTCTCCATGAACTAGGTGATCACCACCCTGAGATCACCATGTTCTCCCAGGTTTGCTCCACCCAGGGCTGCTATGTTCTGGTTGCCAGAGAGAGCATGGTGCTGTGTGCTCAGGTGTTGTGACAGTTTTTGGACGTGAAGGACTACTCTGCCTCCAGGAGCTAGGCAAGCCAGGGTTGGCCTAGGGTTTAAGGCAGCAGAGGTCTTCAAGCCGAAAAGGGCCCTCGCAGTCTTTCATTGTTTTTGTTCAGACATTCCTCTATAGGTCGTATAGCCCTGATGTACAAGTTGTCATACAGTGGTCACTTGTGGTTGCTGTGAGGCTGAACACTGTGACACGGATGTGTCAATTGCATTAATGATTGGCTACCCAATGCAGACAGAGAGTGGGGTGGAGCTCCCAAATTAAAACAAACTTGGAAGGAGGAGTGGCATCCACTTCCATAATAGCTTGCCTCCGGAAACCCTATGAGCCTGGAGAGAGGATGAAAGGTACCCAAGCGTCAGGGACTCTCCTTCATAGGGTCGCTATGAGTCGCCTGTGACTCGACCACACTTAACACCAACAACAGTTTAGAACCTGGGTTGGTTATTTTTCTGGATTTGGAACTCAATCCTACTGGGCCTCAGCCTCTCATTTGTCAAATAAGGACGGCAACAGTCTCTACCACAGCTAACCTTAACCAGGTTAAAAACACTTAACCTGCTGCAAATGTGTAAGAGTCTCTCCAAAGAACAAACAAGGGTGCTCTGGTCAGACTACACATTGAGAGCCAAACTAATAATCACCAAGTATTTGCTTGATGTGTCTTTTGAGGCACCACTGAGAAGTAGGTGTAGTGGCGAAGAAGAGCATTCAGCCTCTCCTCTCCTGACCCAGGTGATTGAACTTCAACCCCGTCTTAGTTGCCTAGTGTTGCTATAAAAGAAATACCACAAATGGATGACTTTAACAAACAAATTTATTATCTCACATTTTAGGAGATTAAAAGTCCAAATTCAGGGCATCAGTTGCAGGTGAAAACTTTCTTGGTCTGTCAGCACTGGGGGAAGGTCCTCGTTATCTTTAAACCTCTGTAGACACAGCTCTCCTTGGAGATAAGTCTTGGCATAAATCTTCCCCTGAGTCTAGAAGGTTCTCAGCTTAGAAAACCCAAGTTGTTCATATCATGTACTCCACTCAGGCTCTTCTTTCTCGGTGGGGGTGAGGTCCTTCATCTGTCTGCTCACTTCTCTCTCCTTTTATCTCTTGTAAGATAAAAGGTGTGACTCAAGCAAGAGTATGCATAAAAAGAGAAGAACACAAAATCGAAAACAACTATACAATATTGGGTATAATGGCCTAACAAAGTCGATACACATTTGATGGGGGCAAACATATCAATGACAGACTCTAAACTTAAGCTGGCCTGCATAGAAGGCCGTGTAGCTTGTTTCTCTAGAGAAGTAAAACTAATGAAGCTAATATACAAATGTGTGTGTGTGTGTGTGTGTGTGTGTGTGTGTGTGTATGAACATTTTAAAAAAATATGACAGAATGTATTTTTTTAATTTTATTTTTATTATTTTGCGTGTGTGTGTACCGTCAAATCAGATTTGACTGGTACAGGAGGAGATTGTTCCTCCTTCTCCAGCAAAGCATCTGGTGATGTACACACATTTTTGCATAAAGAGACAGAGAGATTTATTTCAAGTTCAAGGAAATGAGTTACGTGCTGTAAAGGCTAGAAAATCCTAGTCAGCCCTCAAGAGAGAAGCAACTGGGCAGGTTAAAGCATCCACTCATCAGCAGGCTGTCAGGGTCTCAGCCTTCAGTAGATGAATCTAAAAGTTATTGTTGCAGAGTATTCTCAAAGCGCCCCTTCCAATATTCTGGAAAATGCCATTCCTTTCTGCCTGTAATAGTTCCAATACTTGGTCAGGTCGTTTAGACATTTGAGATGAAAGGAATACTTTCTATCTAATATTCCCCAGTACAACTCAGAGTCCCTTTCTTTGTCTCACGTCTTCTCCTGAGTCTCTGTCCTCTCTCTCCAGCTGGGCAGGCTGTACCCCAACATGGAGATAGAGCTTCAGACATCACCTGAATCAGCACCGTTCCTGATGTTTTCCCCGGGGAATATAACTTTTATGCCAGTGATGGACGTCCAGGCCTTTGTCCTCCTGCCCAACTCCACTGAACGCAAGCCACTCTTTCAACTCAGGGCGGTAAGTCTGATATTTACCCAGGAAAGCAAAGGCCATACATGCCATGGCTGTAAATCCCTCCCTCAGTAACAATAACGTGCTCCTCGGTCAAACGGCTGGGAGACTGTGCAGCTGATCCACGCTGGACACCATCAGAGGGCTCTGCATTCCTGGTCTAAACAGCTAGGTTTCCAAAGGGTATAGATTATCAAATTACGTACTGTCACAGCTGTAAGGAACCTTAAAAGTGATTCACTCTAAGAAGTAATGAGTTTTGTCTCTGATGAGAAGTTTAACAACAATTACAGGCACTTGTTATACAATATGATTAATGTAATTTATATCACTAAGTGGAATACTTTACAAAGTATTGCATTGGCTAATGTTGTATTATATTTATTACAGTAAGTTTTAAAACCCAGCTATACTGAAGACTTTGGGTTTTTCACTCAGTTATGTTTTCTATAAATTTTTTAAAAATTTAAAACATAAGGTTTATTTAAATGACTACACTAAAAAATTACCAACTTCTTCCCATCAACAAACGAATGGATAGAGAAGCTGTGGTATATCCACACAATGGAATACTACACAGCATTGAAAAACAAGGAACTCATGCACTATTATTCAAAGTGGGTGACCCTGGAGGACATTATGCTGAGTGAAATATCTCGGTCACAAAGGGACAAATACTGCATGGTGCCATCGTTGTAGAATGGGTCTGACATCAGGGTGGGGGTATGACAGAAAAAAACTGGATAAATTATGTATATTGTATTGAAACAGATGAGGGAAAGAACAAATTAGACGTGATATATGATTGAGTATTATGGTTAGCACAGGAATCCAGAATTAAGGTTGTATAGAGAAGTGTACTTGGGGTGGGAGGTGGGGGGAAGGGACGTGGGAATTGTATACTAATGAAGGAATTTTTTTTCTTTTTTTTTTCTCTCTTCGGAGGGGGAAGAGAGCTGGTGGGGAGGGGTGGGAAGGGAGAAAATTGTGGCAATGAATGAATAGAAATTCAAAACCTCTGTAAAAAAAATAAATAAAAAATTATTAAAAAAATATTACCAACTTCTTAAAGATGGCACAAAATTTAAAGACTACTTAAGATGGCAATACCAAAAACAATTGCCAAACTTATGTTATCTAGTTGATTTCAAATGTCCAGATTCACTTATAGACTCAGCACAATTCCTATCAAAAACCCCTACCCCCCAAAAAATGACAAGCTGTTACTTAAATTCGTATGGAAATGCAAGGAACACAGAATAGCCCAAGCCATTTTGAAAAAGAAGAAAAAAATTCAGGATCAATCCAATTTCAAAGTTTTCCCCAAACCTATAGTAATCAACACAGTGTGGTACTAGGAGAAGAATAGACATATGGAGCAAAGAAAGAGAATTCAAGGTCCAGAAACTAACTAACATGTTTATGGTTCATCTATTTCTGACAAAAGGACCAAAACAGTTCAGTATGGCTAAACAAGCTTTTACATAAATGATACTGGGAGAAATGGATTCAAAAGAATAAAATTAGACCCCTACCTCACACTGTATACAAAATTAACACCAAATGAATCAACTAAAATGTAACAGGTAAATTGTCAAACTCTTAGGACAAAATATAACTCTCTGTAACTGTAAATTTGGCAACCATTTCTTAACTGAATTACCAAGAAAAGTAATAAAAGAAAAACAGATAAATTGGATTTCACTAATATTCATTCTGGAGGGGCTTCAAAGTATACCAACACAAAAATTAAAAATTTGCCTCATAATTGTACTCCTGAGCTTTAATATAGAGAAATAAAGACTCTCTTTCTTGCTTGCACACACAAACTGTGCACAAATAATATCTTCATTCCTTATCGCCAAACACTAGAAATAGTATAGATGTCCTTCAATGTGCAAATGTTCAAAGCAAGAACTTTAATGATGTCAATAGATACATGTGTTACTACTTAGCAAGAAAAGGAATCAACACTTGGAATACACAACAGTCTAGATGAATCTTCAGAAAATTATGCTTAAGGGAAAAGTCAAAAGATTATATACTGTATGATTCTCTTTGTGCTTTCTTGACTGTGCAAAGACAAGTGACTGTGGATCATAACAAGCTATGACTAACTTGGAGAAGAATGGGAATCACAGAACACTTAATTATGCCTACACCAAGAAGTTGTTGTCTGAACGAAGCAAAGGGAACAATGCATGGTTGAAACTTTAAAAAAATGTTTATCGCATCTTCATTCACAATAGCAAGCAGCTGGAAACAACCTAAGTGCCTATCAAGAAATGAATGGATAGAGAAGCTGTGGTATATTCACACAATGCAATACTATGCTGCATTGAAAAACAAGGAACTCATGCAATAGTATTCAAAACGGGTGACACTGGAGGACACTATGCTGAGTGAAGTATCTCAGCACAAAAGGAAAAATACGGCATGGTGCCACTGTTGTAAAACAGGACTGACACTGGGGTTGGGGAAAGACTGAGAAAGATGGGTTCAATAATGTATACTGCATTGAAACAGATGAGGAAGAAAACTGTTTAAAAGGGATATGTGATTTGGTATTTTTGTCATGACGGGAGTCCAGAGCAAAGGCCGCATAGTGGAGTGGACCTGGGGCAAGGGATTGTAAAACAATGAAAGACCTTTTCTTTTACTTTTCCAAGACGGTAGTGTACTGGGGGAGTGGGAGGGGAGAAAAGTGCAACAATGAATGGATGGAAATCCAAAGTCTCTGTAAATTTTCATTGAAATTAATAAATTTTTTAAAAACTCAAAAAATGTGTGAATCAGTATTATAATCTCTCTCTCTCTCTCTCTCTCTCTCTCTATATATATATATATATATATATATACATATTCAATCTGTTTGCTGAGCAAATTATTCAAGTAGCTGAACTCTATGAAGAAGAATGTCACATCAAGATCGAGGAAGACTCATCAACATTTTGCATTACACAGATGACACAAACTTGCTTGCTAAAAGTGAGGAGTTATCTGAAGCACTTGCTGCAAAAGATAAAAGACTGAGACTACAATCTACAATACAGTTTGTTTCTCAACATCAAGACAAAAATCCTCACCACTGGACTAATAAGCAACATCATGATAGATGGAGAAAAGATTGAAATTGTCAACAATTTCATCTTAATTTGGATCCACAATCAATAGCCTTGGTACCAGCAGTCAGGAAATCAGGAGATGTATTGCACTGGCCAAGTCCACTGTCAAGGACATCTCCAAATGACTGAGGAGCAATAATGCCAGTTTGAAGACTACCGTATCCCAGATTTATGCCATGTCTTGTCAGTCACTTATTAAGCCAGACAATGAGTAAAGATGATTGAAGAAGAATTGATGCCTTTGAGTTGTGATGTTGGAAAAGAATATTTCATGGACTGCCAAAAGAACAGATATGTTTTGGAGAAAATGAAGCCAAAATGCTCCTTGGAGGCAAAGTTGGAGAAGTTTCATCTCAAATACTTTTGGGCATGTTACTAAGAGAGGCTATTTCTTGCAAAGGGACATTATGCTTGGAAAGGTGGGGGTCAGTGAAAGAGGAAAATCCTCAGGGAGATGGATTGATATAGGCACTGCAGAGTTGGGCTCACGTGTGTCAGAGATGATGAAGATGGCGCAGGATAGGACAGGGTTCAGATCTGTTCATGGTCACTGTGAGTCATACCGGACTCAAAGGTACCTAACAACAACAACAACATAATTCCATTTCTATTATAGTCTTGAAATGACCAAACTGTAAAAATGTAGCACAAAAAGGCACTGATGGGGAGCTCTGGTGGCCTAGTGGCAAGAAGCTGCGTTGTAATCCTCAAGATGCACAGTTCAAATCCACCAAATGCCCTGCTGGAGGAGGGCGAATCTCCCCCTGTGCCAGCTGGATCTGATTTGATTGTACATGCACAAAAAATTTTAAAATAAGTAAATAAAATAATTTTTTAAAAAGCCAGTTGCAAAGCCACTCACTCGCCACCCTCAACTCAATATCCTTGGGGAGCTGCTGGATGCAGTTTCCATGCACAGACTTTTCTCCCACCCCAGGAGTCAATAAGATGTCCAAGTGGGCTGAAGTGTCTGAATTCTACTTCTTTTGCTTTTCTAGAGAACCAATATCTCTGTCACCATCAATGTGACCTCCAACAGGATTGTGGGGTTTGTGACCCCAGGAAGGTAAGAGGCTCTGGGTGGGGAGCGGGGAGGCATTAGGGTGGATTGAAGACATCCTGACCGTGCCAGAGCCTGGTTCACAAGTAGGGCTGAGACTGATCTTAGAAAAGCGATCCCCACAGGGTTGCTCAGCCTCCAATCCAGTGTCTCTCTGGAAAAGGCATATTGAAAACGCCTCAGGGAAGAATCTAGAAGCTGAAAAAAGAAATCTACCAGGGTAGCATCTTGGGCTCCTCATTCTCCCCTCTCCGGCATCAGGGAAGTAGCTGGAATGTCTATGAAGAAATTTAGGAATGAGAATCTAATTACAACGGTTGGGCTTGAAGCTATGCTTGAAAGGACTTTATGTATAAGACTAGTTTTTTAAATTTTTATTGTATTATTTTTACGTGTACCGTCAAATCAGATCTGACTGGTACAGGAGGAGATTGCCCCCTCCTTCTCCAGCAGAGCATCTGGTGGATTTGAACCGTGTACCTCTGGGATTGCAGTGCACCGTCTTGCCACTAGGCCACCAGAGCTCCCTTGTATAAGACTTTTTTAAAAAAACAATCAATTGTAGAAATAAAGGAAAGGAAGAAAATTTTGAGACCACCATGGATGACAATGCCCTATCTTTCCTTCCGGTTTTTTTTACACAGTTTACTGGTGTAGCAGTGGTTAAAGCTTTGAGATGCTAATTGAAAGGTGGGTGGTTTGACTCCAGCAGTCAGCTCCTCAGGAGAAAGACAGCACAGTCAGTCTCTGTAAAGATTTACAACCACAGAAACACCATTGGGCAGTTCCACTGTCTCCTATAGGGTTACTATGAGTCACAACTGACTCCAAGGCAGTGGATTTGGGCTGTTTGGATTTGGTTATATATTTGGAGTTGTACAGCATGTGTATCAGAGAGTTGGACAATGACTAAGGAGGATAGAAGGAGAATTGATGCCTTTGAGCTGTGGTGCTGGAGAAGAGTATTGAGGGTACCATGGACTGCTAGGAAAACAAACAGATTCATCCTGGAAAGGGTCAAACCAGGCTGCTCCTTGGAGGCAAGGATTCTAAGGCTCCGTCTAACATACTTTGGGCAGGCTGCAAGGAGGGACAGGTCCTTGGAGAGGGACATAATGCTTGGGAGGGTGGAGGGACAGCGCAGAAGGGGAAAAGCCCCTATGAGGTGATTTTCAGTGACTGGGGTAATCAGGATGGGTGTATCGGAGACAGTGTGATTGGCACAGGACAGAGCAGAGTTTAGGGATGTTGTACATAGGGTCGCTATGAGTCGCAAGCGACTCGACAGCACATAACAACAACAACACAGCATGCGCTGCAATCCCAAAGGCACACAGTTCGAGGACACCAGCTGCTCTATAGGAAAAGGAGGGGCAATCTCTGTGCGATTAACTGCCTCTGATTACCTGCCAGAGGGTTGTTGTGGTACACAACAACAACATATGCATTTTTTATTACAATTTATTCCTTCAAGTTATTAAAAATATTCAAGATCTTTTCTTTTTTTCAGTTCCACAATGGTGGCTTGAGTCTTAAGCCAACAGCCAACACATCCTAAAAGGAGGCTTTGGGTTCTCAGGCCACAGAAGACCCTTGTCTCCAAGCAGCACACTGGGGTAGCGGGGAGTGAGTACCAGTTACAGTCTAGGGTGACTGATGTGTCTCTTTCTCTACACAGTGAGCTGAAACTGGAGCTGAAACACTCCAATGTCGGTTCGTTCAATGTGAGTTCTTTTCAAGTATTTCTTGAGTGGCTTCTCCAGGCAGGGCTTAGTGAAGGGTCAGGAGAGCTGGCAAAGGCCCAGAGGGAGATGTACTTCAGACTCAGGAAATAGGACACCCATTTCTGAAAGTGAACCATTATCCATGGAGGACGTTGTCCAAGGGCTGAAGGGAATGATAATTAATGGAAAGAAGTTTGGAAGAAGATAGACCTGGGTTCTTATACAAGCTCTGGCTTTGCCACTTGCTCACGTTGTGACCTTGGACCAGTCACTTAACCTCAATGAACGTCTGGAAAATGGGAATAAGAATAGCATCTACTTCAAATGGAGGCTGAAGTGTGAAGTGAGGCAATGAATCAAGAAAAGACAGACTGACTCACACATCTAGCAAACTATCAGTAAATAGTCATTTTTGTAAGCATGGTAGCCCAGGTGTACAATCTCTGATCCAAACCTCTTAAATATGGGTAGGTTTCAGAATTGAGACTTTCTTGGCAAGCAGGATACAACATGCTGTAGACCACATCACCAGAGTGCACCTAAAGCTGAGAATTTTTGAGAGGCAATATGGCGCATATACCATATGTTATATAACACTTCTCATAGGATCTGGGGCAGCACTCTATAATCAAACATTTGGATATTTCCACAACGAGACATGAATATTCATATAAAGTGGGATAAAGAAGCATCAATATCTTCATGATGGCTCAGAACAAATTCGCTATCAAATTAATCTATACAACACTTACGGGAAATCTCCAAAGATCTGTAGGAAGTTTTTGAATTGTGAATAAGGGATTGTTTATAAAGGACCCTTGGTGTTACAAAGGTTAAAATGTGTGCCTGCTAACCAAATGGCTGGTGGTTCGAACACACCTGCCACCCTGTGGTGGTCTTCTCTATTTACAGCCTTGACAACCATAAGGGGCAGCTCTGCTCTGTCCTATCAGATCTCTAGCAGTTAGAACTGACTCCGTAGCAATGAGATGGTTTTGCTTTGGTATCTGTAATAGGAGTAGTCATGGTGGTGGTTGTTGTGTACCGTTGAGTCAGAACCAACCCATAGCTGACCCTCAGGCAGATTTTCAGAGGCAGTTAATCGCACAGGAGGAGACTGCCCATCCTTCTCCCACATGGCAGCTGGTGGCCTCAAACTGTGTGCCTTTTGGATTGCAGCACATCTTCTTGCTCTTAGGCCACCAGAGCTCCCTCATCATAGTTGCCTTCTATTTCATAAATATGATGACCTATCAGTATCTCTAGAGTGGGGTCCAGACGCTCTTCATGTCTTGCATGATCTTTTTTCCTCTGACCTCTGCTTTGATCCAGGTGCAGTTGATGGAAGCCATCCTCAATATCTATACCCTCTACACCATATATCCCTACTTCAATGGTAAGAAATAGCTCTACCAGGATTTTGTAATTGACTACCTAACTTGGGAGAGACTGGCGAGCATTATGCTGAGTGAACTAACTCAGTCCCACAAGGACAAATACTGCATAAAACCATTATTGTAGAATGAGTATGAGGATGGGGAGGTGGAATAGATGGGTGAAGATGGGGGGGATTGAGTGTTAATCATACGGTTGCACAATTTGGTGGGTGGGTGGGGTGAAGGAAATGGGAAGGATCATTTCTGAAAAACAATGTATTTCAACTTTGTAAATAAATCAGTATAACTTTCTTTTTATTATTATTTTTGTTTGTGTACCATCAAATTGGATCTGACTGGTACAGAAGGAGATTGCCCTTCTTCCAGGAGAGCATCTAGTGGATTTGAACCACACATCTCTGGGTTTGCAGGGCAGCTTCCTGCCACTAGGCCACCAGAGCTCCCTAAATCAGCATAACTTTAAAAAAAGAGAGAAAGAGGGAAAGAGAGAGAGACAGAAAGAGAGAGAGAAGAGAAAAAGAAAGAAATTGCTGCTACCAATTGCTCCATGCAAAGATTGACTTCTACCCTATGAACTTCATTGTTCATTCTTTCATTTTTAACAAGTTGAGCCTTTCTTCTGCGCCAATCAGGGTTCTAGCAATCTGTGACTCTTGCCCTCAGAGAGCCCACACTTTCTTTGGGGAAACAGATGCATACAAGGAAATGGCAACACAGAGAATAATGAACGCTATGTAGAAGGAAGTCCAGGGAACTGCAGGAGCTAGGAGGTGGCTCTGGCTGTGGTCTGGGAGGCGGGCAAGGCTTCTGTAAAGCAGAGATGTAAGCTGACTGCTAGACAAGGGGTTAGTCAAAGCAACAGCGTGGAGACTGTGTGAGCCAGCAGGCCTTGGTTCTCGGCCAGTTCACACCCACGACGTGCCTGCTGACCTGAGCACTTAGCCCAGGGACCGCCTAGAACTCAGCTGACCTCCCTCCACCCTGCAGTCCTTTTCAGATAGCCTAGTCCCATCTTTTATGACCAGGAGATGTCGTTGTTCACTACCATCAACTCAAGTTACTATAGTAACTTCATGTATCACAGAATGTGGACCTGGCACCAGCGCCAGGGCTGTGGGTCCAATCACTGCGATCCACAGGGTTTCACTGGCTGGTTTTCAGAAGCAGGTCTCCAGGCCTTTTGGGTGACCATCTTGGACTGAGAGAGAACTCTGCTGTTCTCAGTTCAGCATCAAAACAACACACAAGCTTCCACTGAGACAGGTGGTGGCTGCACACGAGGCTTTGACTAGAAGTCAACTGAGTCTCCAGGCAGAAGTCTGACACAGAACCACCACTTCTTCCTTTACGACCAGGAGATAGTTATGAGCAGGTGCTGGAACAGAGGAAGTCGGGGAGACTGTGGTCCTCAGGGATGAGGCCCTGGATTCAGGGTGTGTCCAGCCTTGGTTGCTCTGACAGTGGGTGAGGGCTGACCCTCATGCAGGCTGACAGAAGCCGTCCACCTTCAGGAGTCTCCGCTGAAGAAACAGTATTTCCTAAACCTTTACAAGTCCATAGAATCCAATCGGCTACCACACTGCCAAGGTCCACTCTCCAAAGAGGTAGCAGCCGATGCGTTCCTGTGTTCCCCCGTGCCTGCTCAGTCTTCTCTGAGCACCCACCTCTCTATGTACTGTTTCTCTTGCAGCAAAACTTGACAAGGGGTTCCCTCTCCCCCTGCCAAGGGACACACATCTCAAGAGCGTGGTGCTCCAAATTCACAAGGTCAGTGAGAAATGGGTCTCTAGTGTGTGGGTGACATGGGGACAAACCTCAACTCCCACTTGCACCCTGCACCCCTCTCTTTCTCCTTTTTGTAGTTTCAGTAAAAGTTAACAGAGCAAATTCATTTTCCATGAAACCAACTCTAAACATTCTTTTTATGACGTTGACTGCAGTCCCCTCAGGGTACTAGTGCTCTTCCCACTTCCTCCCTGCTCCTGTTTCCACACATCCCTCTTTCCTGCCCCTTCCTGCCTTTGGATCTTTGTTTTCAGGAAAATTCTGACCTTCTGTTTCCTATGATCGATTGTATTAAAGAGAATATTCTTCCTCGTGTGATTATTCACGTTAGAGACCTGTTTAGCGAGGGAGCTCTAGTGGTCTGATGGGTAAGAAATAGCCTTATCAACCCAAAGGCAGGAGGTTTGAATCCACTAGCTGCTCTGAGAGAAGGGAAATCTAGGCCTGTGTGATCTACAGCCTCGGCAGAGCTGCTGGCAGATCAGTTATGAGTCATTTCCACCTCGACAGCACCGAACAACCGACGACATTGACTAAAAACTGATCCGCAGAGGTGGATTCAAGTCCAGACTTGAAGAATATCTAAGAACCACCTTAGAGTTTCATCAGTTCTGTTCAGGATGTTCAGTCTGATCTTGATGGAGAAAATCAATCCTGGTATCGATCACCTTGTCTGATCTCACGTTAACAGTTACAACATAGCAATAGGGTAACTATATGACTTTGTATCCCTGAGTCCAGAATTGATTAGACCTGTTCTAACTTGAACTACTGAACACATGATTTCTATGGACTGTGTTGTTGGTGCTGTGTACCAGGAGTCAAGTCAGAAATGATCCATAGCTGACCCCCCAGCGGGTTACAGAGGAAGGAGACTGCCCATCCTTCTCCGGCTGAGCAATTAGTGGACTCGAACTGCTTGCTTTTGAGACTGCAGCGCAACTTCTTGCTATTAGGCCACCAGAGCTCCCTAACCAAACCGACAGGTCTATAATGTGAATAAACATGAGGAAGAATGTTCTCAATACAATCAACCATATGAGTCCTGAGGATTAGAAACACATTTATTTTAAATATAACTAGTTTATTTACAAAATTCTATTACCGTTTTCCAGAGCAGATTCTTCCAATTTCCCTCATCTCACAGCCATCAAATTGTACAATCCCATGATTAACCCCTCTCTCCCCCTGCACATCCTCATCCCTCTGCTTTTAAGAAATGCGGCTGCATTTCACACGGTCCATTTGGAATATTTCCTTGAGCCTTTGATTTTCTTCACTCCTCTTAGGAGGCGAGGATTCTGAAGCTCCATCTGACATACTGTAGGCATGTTGCAAGAAGGGACCAGTCCTTGGAGAGGGACATTGTGCTTGGGAGGGTGGAGGGAGAGTACAGGAGAGGAAGACCCTCGATCAGATGGATTGACTCTGTGACTGGGGTAATGGGGGTTGGTGTGTCAGAGACAGGAAGGTTGAGTCAGGATAGAGCAGGGCTCAGAGCTGTTCTACATAGGGTCGTTATGAGTTGCAGGTGACTTGATGGCACATAACAACAACTTCTTTCTTCGGATGAATAAATCTTAGATGCCTACTTCCAACTTTTTAAGACCCCAATCGCCTCTTACCAAAATAAGACATAGAACTTTGCCTTTCTGGACTGGGTTCTGACAGCTGAGCCAGGTATCCACTGAGACCAAACTTTTTTTTCTTCATTTGAGTGACAGTTTACAAATCATATCTGCTTTCATTTAATCATTCAGACATTTGGTTCTATAGCATTAATTACAATTAAAGTAATTCACTTATTACTGTCTAATCAAATATTTATTGCCTTTTCTTTGCCCAACTTACCTATTCTTTTCCTCCCCTCTCCCGCACTTCCCATCCCTGCCAGTCCTCTAAGGTTGAGTCTATCTGTGTGTAAACCTTTCCTTTTTATATTAGTGGCTAAATCCAATCTTTATAGAAAATATTCTCTTTAACTGTTGAATTTAAATGGAAATTTTGATTATTTGTGATCATGGCTTTAAATAGCTCTATTCTCAGTATTTCAGTTTAGGATATTATATTGAGTCCAAAATTAAAAGATATTTATTGAGTATCCATGTTGGGCATCCCTTTAGCCATGCCTACTCTTTTCTTTGTCTGATTTTTTTTCCTTTTAGCCATGGCTTGGTTTTTAGTTGGAGAATCTGGATCTCACAATACCCCACTTTCAAAAGCCTCCAGTGCATTTTTGGTTTATTTCAAATTTTTTTCCAAGTGTTCTAAACTTGCTGTACTCATGAAATCACTCGATTTTTTTTGTAAGGGGAAACTACATGAGACAGCGAGTAAGTCATTAAAATGCATTTCTTAAATGTATTTCTAATCTACAGAAGTCATATGCTAAAAAATTCAAATTTAGTCAGAACGGTCCTAATTAATCCTGCACTCAGGGACATGAAATCACAGAACTGCCCTTTGGTTGTCCCGTAATTGCTTTTTGCAGGCAGAGCATTGGTGCCAAGTTCAACTGTAATGCAAAGTTTTACCAAGTACTCTTACAGAAGTGGCATTTTTCTATCCTGAAGCACAAAAAGAAAGGATCCAGCGAAGGGAGCCTCTTTTTCATTAGCACAGAGAAGTCAATATTCCTTTTAACTGGGTGATGAATGGTTCCAAGTTTGTGGCAGATGTTGTGGTTTGTGGTTCTTCTGCAGTTGTTACAAACTAATCCTCACAATAAAAAGCTCCTTCCTTACTTTTTTTAAAAAAAAAGTACTTGTGGGCATGTTGCTCGGATGTTCTATTAAGGACGTAATGCTGGGAAGGGTGGAGGATCTGGAAGGAGAGGAAGACCCTTAACCAGGTAGACTAACACAGTGCCTGCTGCAATGGGCTCTCGTGTGAAAGGAAGTGTGAGGATGGCACAGGATAGAACACGACTCAGATCTTTTGTTCACAGGGTCACTATGAGTCATGCTTGACTCAACAGCCCATAGCAATAACAGTACAGAAATTAATCTTGTCTTTCCTTCACCATCTGTCCAGAACTTCTTGCTCTTAGGGGCAAATATTGATTAGGATGAAGCCTGGGAAGGAGGAGCATCTGGGACTGAAGACTGTGGACACCACCCCAGCTAGACCTGCCCTGACTCGTGGAGGCCCAGAGGCTGTGACCACTCTGCCCACCATGATCTCTCACTATCCTCATGGGCACTAATCCCAGGGC